ATGTACACGCAAACGATTAAACTTTACAAAGTGGCGCGCAATGTCATGTTCGCGGCGGCCTAAATCGATTCAATTGCGCCGGTAAATTCGCATTTACACTCGCGCCTACCGCGTCGTATACGCGGCTTGGATGCGTCTACAATGGCGTCAAACACTTTTTCAAGAAAATCGCAAGCGAAGTTTCTTCTTTAGGAAAATCGTGTCGCTCCGAGGAATCCTTCGTACCTACGATATATGTGGGTCAACGTATAAAAAATGCGCTACGTTCCACGATACATGACGCTTTTTCTGACCGGTCGCACGAACCAGATGAATATCTGCGCATAGGCCGCATATGACGAGGCGCGACGTGCTCGGAAAAATAAGGGAGGAGAGAAAAAAAGAGATACTAGATAAAGGAATTCGCAATAAAATTCAGCGAAAGCAAGAACAATTCAGATTCTCCAAGAAGGTAAAAAGAGCAAATGTAGACACTACTCGAATAGAAATATATCCTGTGGTCCTGAATCAGCTGTTTGATTTGTTATAGGGTGATGTTAACGAGTTCTGACGAAGCCATATAACGCAGCATGGCAATCAGAGCTTTACTAATAATAAAAAGTATTATTAATTAGGATTCTACTAACAATTAGGATTCGCGTGATAACATCTCCTCATACAAGCTAGATAAGGGATTGGGATCAACCTGATCGTGGGATAAATTTCTAGTCGGGCGGCAGTTTGACCTTTCCCTTTTTGCAAACGGTGCTTCGAGTGCTTTTCTATGGGTGTGTTATTGCGCGCAAATGCATAAGGGACGCACTTCTCCAGCGAGATACAAAGGAACGCATTTCACTCATGCCATGCGTTGGTTCCTTTGCACTTTCATACAATAGCATACGGTCGACAACTGCCGGCACATGCGTAGAAAGAGAAGGTCGAGGGAAACACTATAATCGTTTCTCTCTACCACCTCGTGCACGCTTCAATGATCGACAATGTTGAGGCGGGTCTGTCCCTCGTATCTATCATCGCATCGCTATCTACGGCATTAACAAAAATCCCGATGAAAGCGATAACGCTTCCACGCCGCGAGAACGGAACAACTGTCGGACTGCCACGGAGTGTTTCCTGCCAAGCGTCAAGCGTCGCTAGCAGGATACACCTTTCTTCGCGACATCAATATCCCGCTGCGAAAATAACGTTACGCGAAATTAACGCTCGCGTTTATCATGAGATAAGCACTAACCAAAGCACCGCGACCACGACGGCCGCGCGAGGCCGACAATTTCCTCGGATAAAACTCGGGACACAAAGTCCTCGCTTCTGAACTCACGTGCGGAATTGTACGGCGCGGAGAAATGCAGCATAAATCGGCGCGTGATGGAGAAATGCGGAATTTATCGCAAAATCCGCTTTGATCTATGCATGCGTCTGGGTTCTATATTCCTGTACCGCTCAGAGCCGAGAGAGCGTGCTCTCTTTTTATTCTCTCGACACTTTCGACACACGTCGTGTATAATGATTAGGCATACGAGAAAAAAAGAAAGAAAAATAAAAAATAGTATCGTGCTATTTGTGGACAGTTGACGCGTTGACTGCCACGCAATCGTAGATTAATCACGAGAGGAGATCGTAAGGAGCGATTCTTTTTGCACGCGATGATTAGCCGATAGACCTTCGTGAGTACGCAAAAACGAAACCTGGCCTAAATCTACTTCGGCTGACATTTTGGCTGATACATCAAACAAGGACACGGAATTTTAATAAGTCATCGAAATAGCTTAACGTTATTGCTTATATCGTTACACGGCTTTGCAAGGCACGAATGGTGATAACGGAATTTTTCGCGCCGCGGGAGAAGTGTGGCTATACTAGAGCGAAAAAACAACACACGTCAGCAGTAACGCGGGTCGAAGAAGAAACTAAGAAAGAAAATAATGTCATAACTGAATAAGTTCCTAATGCTTGGTTTCACCAGCGTCGAAAGTCTTAGCCTGAATTTAAACTGTCTTCAGGCAAAGACTGAGACTCAAGGTTTAATCGACATTTAAGAACATTGAAGTAGTTAAATCTTATACCATCTCGGTAGAGCCGCGGGTGTATAAGGTTTGTATTATTAGTTATTCCGAACTTGTTTCGAATGAGGTACTACACGGAAAGAATATTGTAGTAAAAATTATAATGCAACATTGTAGTAGTCCGGAAATAGCCTATCACTATTACGAAAATCATAACGAAATAAACATGATAACTCTGATTATATTTATAATCATTCTTACTAAGTTTTATTATAATTTTGGTAATAGTGACAGCCTATTCCCGGACTACTAAAGTTGCACTGTAATTTTTACAACAATATTCTCTCCGTGTACGAATTAAACTAAAAAATATACAAAAATTTTTTTAATCGAATCGCGATTGCAAATATAAAAGATATCAAATGTATCATAATTCAACTGAAAAACTTGGATCTAATTTAGAATAAAAATCTGAGTATCTCACACGAGGAAAATTTCAAGTGACAACTACTAATGCCGGCCTCAAAACTAAAAAAGGACCGGTTAAATATTAATAATTTCAAATTATAAAGTATTTTAGTCAATTTATCGTAAACTGTCGGTTTTATATATCGTAATGCATTCGTTTTTAATTACTCGCGCGTGATACGTATCGCTTCTGATGGTATAAGAGTGAATGCGCTCAGAGTTCAGCGGCGATAAGTTGAGCATTATTAAGTGTTACGTGAAATAAAGGTCCACATAAGCGGACCTTTCGATATCTTTCCAGGAAATCACAGCCGAAATGTGTGATATTCGTTCCTATTTGCACGTTCGCCACGATGTATACGAGGATGAAAGTCGCGAAATGAGCGCACGTATCCACGCAGTCTCTCATGCGTTCGTACTTCTGATCAACTGGCACATTTAAATATATTGAGACAGTGCGCTTATGTAAGCACACTGTACCAGCACAAGCGGCATAATTAACGAGGACAAAATTCGAGATATCTACGACTGTATCGACACGTCGGTTAAAGTCGCGTCAACATTAGCCGAGTGTGACTTCCGCGTCGTGAGATAGCTGATTACGCGAATAAGAGTCTTTAAGGTTTAATTGCACATTTGACACGCAGCGACATATTAATTATGACGCAGCATGCTCTCGTAAGCTGACGTTTGGTATTCTCTTGTAGGAACCGTTTAACGCGCGAACTGTGCGAGGGTAGAGCGATCGATTACATTATCCAGGAGACGAACGATTTGGATACAGCGAACGCACACGAGACGCATAAATCGACGATTGCGTGCATGTAATTACGAATCATCTTTGATGACACATTCAATTATGATAATTGTGTTTATGAGCAAATCATCGTGACTGAAGTGATTATATAATGGCGCAGGATCCTAATTAATTATCCTACAAGCGCACACGCTGTCGCGCTATTAGTTTACGAAGCTCATTCGAATAACTTCGAGCTGTCAGAGTACAGAAATTCTGAGTAATAATGTTTCCTACTCGAAAATCAATGCGATTTTTGCATGCAATATGTAATGTGATGCTTCATGAGCGTTCAATTTCAACACTCACCATTTCGAGGTCCCTCGACGTCCAGTGGTCCAAGTTCTCAAATCGTTGCATCCGTCCAGTATTCAGCATTCTGTCGTTTCACGTTGATCACAACACTACACTGCACTGCACTCGTAACCATGAATAATTTTAACGGTGATAATCGCGAATAATATTAACGTAAAACGAACATTTGCGTATGTTTAACAATTTAACGAAAAGTACGCAATAGATTCAAGTGTTACGCAAATATACCTGCAAATCGCGAATTATGTGTAAAAGCTCATGACTACGAATAATTTTCACGCTGATAATCGCGAATAAATTTAATGGACGACCATTTGTAACACAATTATACGCTTTCATAAAAAACAAAAAGAACAAAAAGAAAGTATATCATTCCTCGAGAAAGACTGTACTATGTCAAAAGATGATTCTCATTTCGCAAAGATTCTAATTCTTAAAAAAACAATGAATATATATATTGAATTTGGTAATAATTTGAAAGTGACACGACTGTAAATAATCGCGAATTTTGTGTATGGTGACGCAATTGACTAGTACACATTATGATGCGCCGTATATGCGCACTCTGATGCGCCTTATGTGCACACTTTGGTGCGCCTTGGATGCGCACTCTGATGTGCCTTATATGCGCACTTTGGTGCGCTTTGGTACGCAATTTGATGCGCTTAGTATGAATCGTGCGTAAAAATTCATAAACTAAATTACGATTCTTTCAGTAAGAGAACGAAAACAAAATATCACATTTTGAGGACGGTTATACTACATCAGAAAATAATTTTCATTTCGCAAAGATTCTAATTAAAGAAACTAAAACAATGTATATAAGTATTGAATTTAGTAATAATCTTTAAATTACAGAAGCCGGCGCGTATGAAAAATTCAAGAAACTGATAATCGCAGTTTCTCCAAAATTAGTTGCAATCAAAGTAAATATTCGCGCGATTTTGTATATAGTGACGCACTCTGATACGCCTTGGTGCGCTTATTACGCACCTTGATGCGCTTTAATTAATGCGCATTCTGACGCACTTTGATGCGTATTTTATATTTTACATTGAACGAATTAATTAGGGAGTCAAATTCTTTTTAAAAACTTTCTTTTAAGAAGAATTCTGTATAAATATCTATTAAATAAATATCTATTATTATTAAATATATATATATATATATATATATGTATATAAAAGTCTATTATTAAAAATATATTATTATTAAATATCTATTCAATATATGCATATTGACTATTTCATATATGCATTGAAAAAGACTTTCTAATTACTTCGAGCAATGTATTTTGGTGGACGGCACATACATAGATACATACAAGCAAAAATCTACAATCGCATTGACTTCATTGATATTCTGTAAATATCCATCACCAATAAATCCACCACCTTTTCTCACCTATTTTTCTCACTCACCGTGTCAGAGACGGCCACATTCTGCTACCAATCTAAAGCAAAAAATATAATTTCGCCAATTAAATACAAAAGTTAATAGCTTAATAAGAAAAATTCGCATAAATATGAAAGTATTATTAAGAAAATATTAATCTTTTACGGATGTTATAGTTCAACAATTTTCACAATTCAATAATTATATCAAAGCTTTCAATTACAAAAAGTTAAGTAAAATAGTGAAGTCTATATATTTACCTTCGAGCCGACTCTGCTCGGCTTGAACCGGATCCTCCAGTACGGTATCTGTGTCCATCGAAACTACACCCCAGGGGACCGCACCCATCGTATCGCCGTAAATTCTAATAAATCTGACACAAAAAGTAAATTTTCTGATTAGTTATATTGATAGGTGTCGATACATAAAGAATGTAAAGGTTCAATATTGTATATAACTTTCTTTTAATTTAATAAAAATAAAAAATGATAATCATTCTTAAGATATCAGAATACTGCCATTACTCCAAATAATTATAGCACGATAATTACGCGTACAAGGCAACATAATTCATCTCACGCACGCTTTGATCGAAAAATCGATAATCATACGCGACGTCTCCCGAAGTGTTTCCTCTCGCGTCGAAAACTGTTATGATTGCTCGGCCGTTGAGTATTTCTATAGTTATTATTATACGTAACATACGTTATTCTCAAAGTCACTTGTGACTGTCAAGTGTTTTTCAACCAGCAAGGCATTTTCGAAGACACTATATTATATATTTGTTTATTTATGTTCTCATTGTCGTGGTATTAACGTTAGATATGATTTTATAATATTTTTTGTATTCCTCTTGATATCTCAAACTACCAAAACGCACAAGAAAAAGGTATAAAAATACAAGAAATTGGATTTTATGTAAAATAAAATTTCGTTCAAAAGATATTTGTTAAAATATCGAAATCAAATCGAAAATGTACGTTTGTTGTCGTATAAATTATATGCATTGAACAAAACTCAATATCTCGTAAATTTCACGCTGAGGGACACTACACTATCGCGTTACTAATAAACCACTGTTGCACGCGGAATAAATAATAAAAATTATTTGTAACCCAAAAAATTAAGTGCAAACGTTAACTCTGACGTACGAGTCAGGAAAAACTTTCCCTCGGCGTACGATTGAAAGTGATGCACACTAAAATGTTAACTACATTTTCGCTGAAATGTCGAGGCGTTTTACTTTCGATAATGTTATGAAAAATTAGCACGTTTGACCGATTAACATCCAGGAGATTTATTGCTACTAATAATAGTCGTGAATATTAATTACGATAAAGCTCTTTGAAGTTACATGGCACTTTAATATTGCAACGTGCGTATTAACCGACGCCAATATTAAAAAGTTTATTTAAAATTATGAATCATTTGAAAAACATGATTAATACAACTTGCCGATAAATAAAATAATATTCAATAAATGTTACAATCGATCGTACTTTATACTTTGTCGGGAACAATAAATAGTCGCAAAAAATGACGAATAAAACCAATTATTTTATTTAATTACTTTTCTCTTTGTTCCCGTTACATTACGGTATCTGATGCCCACGTATTCTGACAATTTTAATTGCGCCTTTTAAGCGACTCAATTTACAGAGCGCGACATACCCGGCATTTCGCGTGACAGGTTTTGTATCTTCTGGTTCAGTTTTTGCGAATCGCGAACCCTTTCTTTCTCGGCGAATTGAATACTCATGGGAAATTAAAGAGACCGTCCGCCACGTTCAGGAAACTCGATATTCGATGTTGACGAGATTCATAAATTCTCGGCACGTACGCGAAAAAAAAATAACGAGGTTTATGCGCTAACCTTTTCATGGAAAATAGAGCGATACAGACGAACTACGGCGAATATAAATTTCTCGGCGTATCACAAAGTTTAACACATTTGTTAACTCGTAAACGTTTACGTCACGTAACACGTGTTGCCTTAAATTGAAATAACATACACAAAATATTGAGCAAAAATTTAATTTATTATTTATTTATTTAGATTAATGTCTTTGTCGAATCCGAAAGTGATTTAGTCGCAAATTAAAATTTTATTAGAGATCATTATCTTTCGCAAAGTTGTACAGATAGGTTTCGCTTCCGTAGACAGATTCAGCTTTCGTAGACGATAAGAATTATTTCTATGCACGATGTTCCGCTGCGTAACGGATGAAATAGTATTCGCTCTAGCAATTGTTGTTCATAACACGCGCAGTTAGAACATTAAAAATACCGTGAATTTAATTATTAGATATGATGGATTGTGCAAAGACATACGCGCTAATGTAATATCTAATGATAGAATCTTAGAATCAAAATTTCGAATCGGCTCGTTGCACAGGCATTGAGAACGGTTGTATGTTTAACCGACGCTAACGAAACTAGTTTAACGAACAAACGCAATGCAACGTGCTCACATTTTAATGCAAGATATGCTCATTGCGTAAGCGAAGTCTCAAAATACCTACGCGTTCTGCACGATCGTGATATAAAAGGCGTCACCGGTGGTAGAATGCCACGACGGCATTTCACGCTACATTTCGTAATTAGATCGAATGCACGGAATGACTTTCGAAGATAACACGGAAAAAATACGCACGTAAGAAGCGTTACGTTACGATGACGTTTATGCGAGTCTCTTCGGGTGAATTGCTTGAGAAAAAGTACGATTCGAAGAGCGCGTACAGAGACGAGGATTTCCCGGGGCGCGTTACGACCTTTCTTACGATTAATGGTGACAAGGTAGCAGACAATTGCATTTTCACATTCTCCTACAAATTGTACTCCAGTCAATGTAAATCCCAATTTTATCGCATATGGAAGAGAGAGAGAGAGAGAGAGAGAGAGAGAGAGAGAGAGAGAGAGTTATAAATTATTTATAACATTGCAGTTAAGGAAGACTTAACGAATATTAGTCTCGGAATTTAACATTAGAAAGTACATTCAATTTTGTACTTGGTATCATATCGACTATTCCAGCAATCTTGTTCTTTCTTTTTCTTTTCTTAGTATTTTACATACTACATATTTTCAGAGCCCATGCGTGTTCTATTTCAGATAACAATTCACGGCATTGTACTTGTGTATAAATGTTAAATACATTATTGATTATTATTTTATAAGCCGCGGTAATCATACTAGTGTTATGCTTGACGATCCGGTACGATAACAAGGCTAGTCACAAGTGAAAAATAGACATTAATAGATGTAAAGAAGATGGGACACACAATTCAAAGAGCATTATTAGGCATACAAAAATTTGTGAAATTTATAATAAATAGGCATATAAACATTTGTGAAATTTATAATAAATTCTGAAAAGAAGACCGGTAATTTAAATTATTTACTATCTTTGATTGAAAATATAATTAATTGTACGTTTGTATTCATGGATTGTTATTTGGTTGTTCAAATTAATATTTCTTGTATAAATTAAATACAAGATGACAAATAATCGAAGATTTATAAAGTTATGTACATATATAATTATTTGTCGAAGAATGATGGACCATGAATGCCGGACTAAATTTTAACTTAGATATGAATAATTTGGAATAATATGAGCATAATTGGATATGATTTAAATTATTTGACATACCTAGAAATATATGATGTGCTACTGACCGTGTCCCAATACCCTCCATCTTCGTCCTGGTTCCCCAATCTGGCTGGCTAACATTCTGGCTGTTTCAACGTCGTAGCACTGACACTCACGAAAATGCGATTCGATCGGAAAAACACGCGTTAACTAACGCGATGCCGATGAGAAACCGATTAAAAAGTTCAATACTCAACAAAATAGTTCGACGGAAATTAGACGGGAATAGCAAAAATACCGATACATACTGTTCACAGTACGTGCGTCGCTCAACGCGGCTCAAAACACAATAATTCGATTACGGAAAAGTACGTTAAGCGCGAGACTTACCAAAACAATGAGCAAAAACCTCTACGTCATCGCCCGTTAGTCGCTAATCGTTGTTGCTTTACAGTCAATGATGCGTACCTTTGGCGGCCGAAGGATCATAACAACCAACGACATGAAAATATTCGTGACTCTCAAAGCGGATAAAGTGATCAGGACAGTACATACTAAAAGTGTAGCCTTCGACGATCGTAGTTAATTAATATACTACCATGAATCAACGTTGCATTTTCGATTAAATCGTGTTTTTGCGTGAAACTATTGAGAGCCATGGTGAGAATGAGAAATTGATTCTAGGACGGAATGCAGGACGCAGGATGTGGCGACAGTCGGCAACGAAATAATTTTATCTTCTTTTGAATCTTCATATTTTATCGAAATTTTCAACGTGAATAGAAAAATAACAATAAACAGATTGAAAGAAAATTTTAAAATATTAAAAAAGCTTGCTGTTTTATTTGCCAATTAATTATATTTACTCGTTAATATTTTTTTATATTAAATTGTTTAATAGATATTTACCGCATTATTCTATCTCTCTGCAGAGTAAATTGTTTAATATATTACTTATCGAAATTGTGAATAAAAATTAAATGTTAGTGGAATATTTGCGAATATTATATAGTTCATAAATTGATATTTAAATTAAAATCTCAACATGAAAAAGATTGTAGCAAATAATTATTTAAAGAATTAAAGGACAGTAGTCTGGGTATTGTTATGTCTCGAAATCTTGGTCTTTCAAGTTCGGTAGAATTTATAAGGTTAACGTAAAACCGAAATTTTGATTTGGAAAGTTAAATATTAACGCGCGATCTATCGATTGCGTGTACATATACGTACGTTACGTATGCATTCGTGACGTTATGTAAGTAGATTGACAGACATAGAGAATATCAGTATTCTGACATATCCTCTTAACGGTAACTCGAGTAAAAAAGGGCAGAGTTACTCGCAGTTCGTTAATGAACTTAACGAGCGGTTTGCGTTCCGCCTTTTATGATAATAATCGCGACTCATCGAGGGCGTAACCCGACGATTCGCTTTCGGCAAATCGAATCGTATTCTAAAATAAAATACACCCTAATTACTTCGAAATCTTCGACTCGTTTCTTCATCTGTCAACGACGATTCTGAATAATTATATGGATCCGCGAGACCAACTTTCTTCTAAGGATAAGACTAAGTAGTTAAGAGAAAGTGTTTTCGAAAAAAAATTTAGTGTGTACGAATACGATAATTCTGGTTGTTAAAATTAAGCTATCAACGTATTGAAAAAAACATTCCGTTTGCCATATGTTACGTCTTTGTAAAAATACGTTCTATTTTTTTTTACTTCACGTTTCTATTTTTCATTCTTTTATCATAAACAATTTTCGTTGCAGAAAAATAATCTGCTAAAGGCCAAGCTGACAGCATTGAAACGTTTTGAGTTAACCAATCGTACGAATAACAATCAACTATTATGGCAAAGGATAATGTGCACCGCGCTTTTTTTATTTATTTCGCTCAGTTTTCGTTTATGCAAGTATAATTAATCGCCAATGTCGTATAATAAACGATATTGTTACGCTCGTAGGGCAATTTGCAGATCGCAGAAATCATAGGTGGAATATTCCGAAGGGGCGATTAAGTGATTGCCCAGAGCGTGGAGAACCGTCCATCAACGATTGTTCGCGCTCCCACGTATTCGAAAGTGATTAATTACGATTTTCACTCGAGACATCCGTGTATAGCTTCGGTTTCAAACGTTGCTTACGCCGTTCACACGGTGCATTTTGGCAATACATTCTCAGGGCCGTTCTGACGGTTTTCTTTACTAAATAAAGTCCTTTCAATCGCGGAACAATTAATAGCGATTAAATACTAGTTTCACTAAGTTATTACTTTGATACATATGTATAACCATACTATAATCATTTTGAGACTTGTAGCGGTTTCTATTTGTTCTCGAAAAAAATATTATATTACTTCCTAGAAGTATTTGAAAAATATGGATATTTTTTAATAGACAATGACTGGTCTGTTAAATGCATAATATATTTGACACAATACGATATTGCGTCTGTGAAATATTAATGTCCAGGACCAAGACGAAGGTGTCGGAACGGCCCTGTATGTATTTCGGTCGCTGCGAACTCCCCGAGGAGAGGCTTATGTATGTCTCTGTGTCGGTATGCAAACGCAGTTGATCGGCGTATAATCCGGTGTACGGATCATTACGGTGAGCACAAGCGACACAATATCGGGCTCCCGACGGAGACGTACGAGTCACGAGATAAAATCTCGGACACGTACATAAAGGTTCGCCATCGGGAACGCGGCCCATGTCCTCGTCGTCGTCGTCGTCTTCTTCGTCGTCGTTGTCTCGCCTGCATTCCGCGAGACACTGCGGCGTAATGCACCGCGAAAGCCGCGTCACCCTACATCACACGCCGCACACATTCACCGATCCTGTGCGCTCTCGCTCGGCGTTATCGTGGGAAGGTCAAGCTTCCACGTGGAATTCAGACGTGTAGAAATAATAGCGCGAAACTGCCTAATGTTTGAGAAAGACAATACAGGCGAAACTGGGAGAGATGGAAAGGTTTCATCGAAACGCTCATCTTTGTTCGTCGTAAAGTTGTATATCGAAATATTGGCATTAGAAATATATAACTCAATTAGAAAAATGGAATAAAATATATATTATATCATGTATAATGAAAAGAAAAAATAATTTAGAGTTACACACGGTAAAGGCGGATAAGCTATCAAATAAGCCCATCCTGGCAGCTTCCTCGAATATTCGCGAATGGACACAAATCACGATTCGATTTTCCAGGTATTATTCACTCGTCTATTTTTATAGTTTTATACACAACGTATAAAGTTACGTCTTTCATGCTGTTGAGCGTGTGCGTTGATGTGCAGTCAGGCGGAGTGAAGCTCGCAACGAACAGGGAGCGGGATAGCACGTGCTTGCGGGATAGCACGAACGACCCGCATATATACAGCGAATAAACACAGCATCTCTTCGTTTTCTCCGCTTGCCTGCCACCGTGATGTAAGCGCGTACACGCGGCAATACCTCGGCGCGTAACACGCAAGTCCTTACAAGGTAGCGTGCATTCCGCGATGGTAGACACCGGTGGTAACAAAGTGCCGCGCCGTGATTCGAAATCGTTTCCCTCCGACGCGCCTCTAGTTACAATAAAAAAAAGAAAAGGAGAAGGAAAGAAAAGAGAGAACGAATAGGTCAGTTCGCGACAAGGAATGTAACAGAGGCAATATCACAGTAACGAGGCTGTAAATATGAGAAGAAAGATGTACGACTTCATTATCTCGGTTAAACAATGTTTAAAAATCAAAGGATTAAAGAGCAGAGGAAAATCGTGCGATTTATTCTCCCGCTAGAATATTAAGTAACGTGTTTTATAACACAAACTATCTCGTTATGTCAGTCACGTGTCATCGTTCCCGACGGCTCTCTTAGATCGTCGCGACTCTCATGTAATTTTCCGATCACGATGTTCCTCCCTCCTCCAGTATAATCGCGGAGATATTCGCGATTGCACTTACAACGCCTTCTAGGAAGGCGCGGATGAACCGCCATAATACAATAGCGTGAATAATAGCACGGTAAGAAGACAGAAGGTATGTTCATTGTATACGTGTTATTCGTAAAAGCGTAAGGAGCAGACAACAACAATTACACGCATATTGCATTTATTAGCGTTCGCTGCGAATTATACCTTTGTAACTGCAGTCGCACCGCGAGAAAGTGTATATATTTCTAGACGATGAAGATATCGTACGGTTTAATGACTCCTTCATCGCCTCGGAAATGCTCGGAATTGCTATGCGTTGTTGCCCTTTCCGTACGCGGATAAGTTGCTCCGCAACCATTCTCTCTGCAAAAAATATTTTTTCTTTTCTCTATTTTTTATTAGTTGTTTTGCATGAGAAACGAGTTGCAGTATGTATCTTGACATCGTTATTAATTTAGCTTCATGAATATTGTAACAAGATTTTTCAGACGCGCGTGCTTCGAAAGTTTCGGACGCGTATGGCATTCCGCGGCGCATGTTGACGCGAATAACACTTGGAAAGTGGATATAGACACAGTACCATAAAAGCATTACGACTTCCTTCTATGTAGTTCTCGCACTGGTATCGAACATTTGAATATGGATCAGATCGCGAGGTTTGCAGTTCACGGCGTAACGTACAATTCGCCGATCAGATCGCGTTACTTCCGCGTTACTTCCGGCGTCATTTTTTTTTCCTTTCATTTTCCTTGCCCCTCATTCTATTACGCAGGCCACAGATTTTCTATCTTTCTCGTGCAAATTGTTGACGCGATGTGACATTTGGCGCAGATGATCCCGCGGGTTTCGCGACCAACATGTATTTGCTGTTCATTATGCAATGTGACCTTTCGCAAATCGGACTTTCGTCAACCATGCAAAGTTTGCTTATCATCGTCCGTCCGCGCGCCATACCGAATGAAATTAAATTCGCTACGCTCGCATAACTCGCGGTCAGTGGTTGCGGTCAGTTTAGTTGACATTTCAATTTTTGCGACTCCCACATCGCCCGATATTTTATCGCGATTCCCATCGCGAGCTCTAATGAGACACGACGACGGGCTTTCGCCATCGCCGATTAAACTATAAAGTAGCCGCAGCAGCGGCACAAACATTACGACCCGAATAACGACTAAAATTCACCGATATCAAAGTTTCAATCTCAAAGAAAACCGGCGGCCCGTATCGAACACGTACTAAAGATCCGCAATTTTTTCATTATGTAAAAAGTCGATGTAAAATCTTTTCGACACGGAAACTTGCCAAAAATATGCGAATTCGTAATAAATCTCACCGTGAACATTTAATCACACCGCGACCAATCTCTTAATTTTCAGTCATAAGCACCTGAATACTAAGAGATTGTGTTCTAAGAAGCCGGAAAATTACCGACTTGGTACTCCGCCAATTTGCACTGAGTTTGGCTGATCGATAGGTACGTCACGTACACACGCGACAAATCATTACGAATTATCGCGGAAATCGTAAATGAATCAACCGGATTCTGTTACATATTCGCAGGAAATGACCGCGTTTCAAACGCCAATCGGATCGTTAAGATAACGAATTGCGTTTTTCTTCTCTCTCTTTCCGCGATATTTAATCGTTTGTATCTTATACATTTTACACATTTTTATGTAAGGTGTATCCTGAAATAACTTTCTATCACCTATACAGATTCTTCGAGTAATTGATTTTTATAGATTCTGTATGACGTAAACTATACTTGAAACTGCAATTACTTGAAATTAGACGAGAAGTAAGGTGACCATTGTCGACCTAGCTCTCGACGATTAATTCATAAAAAGTTATTTCTGGTTTTAATTTCAGATAAATAAAGAACTATGCTGGTGCTTCTATATTTATATAATAGCAAGGGAAACCCACGAGAAGTTCAAAGAATCGACAGCTATGAGGAAAAGCGCACTGTACAGTCCTCAGTACACAATCTTATATAATCGTATTAAATTGCGATTATTAGAGGAAAAACGCAAAATAATAGTTTTTCAGTCACGTTTTTTGAATTATTATTGTAATCTCAGATATGTATCTAACTCGTTATCCTATAAACGTATTACTCCACGCGATAACAAAGATCTCTCTCAGATAACTTATTTGCTTTATTAGCTCGATTTGTCAATCATTCAATACATAATTACGTCTTTACTCCCTCCCTTTTTCTCTTGTGACCTTTCCGATTACTTTACTTTAAATCCGCGGTGGTTCCGCTCTACATGCACGCAGGTGCAACCGTACTCCCGCGTACCTGTGAAATGAAGTATCACGCACGATTGCGTTTCCGCAGGTGTTTCCATTATGACAAGCTCGCGGGAAAAGATCAATCCCACAAGAACAGACGCAGGCAATTCGGTGACTTTTTCGCCGAATTGATCTTATCGCGCGCGAAGTGTGCTATTCACACTTGTTGACTATGAGTTCTGCTAAATGTAAAACATCATATCCCTATGCCGTCGAGATTGATCAGGTTAACATAGGCGTAATAATACTCTGCGAACTTATTAAGTCGGTTTCTACTTTTTATACGTAATCGGACAAAGCGCGCTGTGAGAAATCGCGTGACAAGTACTGACAATATGAGCGTGATGCAAGATATTTTCCAGGTGTTCTGCATAGCAGCTCTTTTCCCTCTCAATCTCAAATCCAATTTTCACGAAACTGAATATTAAGAACGGTTATGCACTTTTATCTGACAAGTCCGTGTCAACTTTGTCATGAAGTTGACAGGTAAATATCAACGTAATGTGCAAGCGCATGTATCTACGGATATCAAATAGCGCCTGAAGAAATTATCAAGCCGATACAATAAGAGAGCGGTTTATTATACACGGCCGCGCACACGTATCGGATAACCGGTACGTTCTCCGAAACGGTCGGACCGTTGCAATTTGTTTCGCACGAGCGGCCGCACCGATTTTCGAATCTTTCAAATGGTGCGCGCTAGCTGGACACGTCGTCGTGTTCCTTCGTTTTTCCGCGACAACGTATTCGACTTAGGATATTAAATAATGCCTCCCGCGAGTCGGCCACTACTTTCACTCACCGTATACGACAACGTCACTTTACAACCCGCACGTCGAATAGCGCGCGCGCGTTGGAAACGGATACGCAAATCGCGAGTGCTTGTCATTGCACGCGAGATGTAAAAGTAGATCGATTTAGTCGACTGACAATTTAATTCATCGGCGCGCCAACTTCGTTACGCGTTATTGAAGGAACGAACAAATCCAACGATTTGAATCATCAGGTCGACGAGCTCTCTCGAAAAGCCGGAAATGCAACTTTCGTTCCTTTCGCGCGATCCAATCTTCCCGCGGAATCGTGTGCCGTTTACCCATCAAACTCACACTCGACCTGGACGGCTACGAGGCAGCCGGGTATTAATATCTTGATGGGTATAACAAGCTGCGTTTGCCCATTGCCAAGGCACGATTATCACGATTTCAATCGTTAATAGCCCGGCCACGGCAATTTCGGCTGCATTTCCTTGGGCAATTCGACTCGCGAGCGCGAGCTCGCACCGCGCGCGATTCGTGAGAGATCTCCCGGGGAGAAAGTCCCGGACGAAAACAATGCGTGGCTCTTTCTCTCCCCTTTTCTCTCCGTCCGATTTAATGCGTGTAACGCGGGACAATAATTAAGGGGCTCGCTGTGGAAACGCGACGTACGTGCTGCAGGATCGATCTGGTAGTCGCGCCCAGCGGATGTTTATCTCCCGAAAGCGTAAAGGCGAATTCACGCAGTTCGTTCTCAACGAATGTCATAACGAAATCGTTTATCGTCGCGAACGTGTTTCATTTCACTCGCTTTGCTTCACTCATTTCACGCATTTCACTTGCTATAAGACCCATCAGTTCACATATTTTTATATACTGCATTTATATGCAAAATAAAACTATCTCATAAAAGTTTATATGGTCAGACAATGAATTTTGATATTTCGATTTTAAGGCGATGCCGTACTTGCAAACTTCATCGACAAAATACTTAATTTTTTTCTACACAGTTTATGTCATCTTATTTGCACAGAATTACAAATGCTGTCACACATTGAAAGTATTTCCAACAATGAATTGAAATACACTGGGGGAAAAATTACCTTAAAATCAATAAATATTTCTTTGATAGGTGCCATTAACATATTTATTTATAAATCTAAATTCTCTTTATTTAAACCAAATATTGTTTACTTAAATCAGGTAAACAATATTTGATTTAAATAAAGAGAATTTAGATTTTAGTAAATATGTTAATGGCATCCATCAAAAAAATATTTGTTAATTTTAAGATAATTTCTTCCTCAGTGTATATGACGAACACAAGAACAAATTTTAAGATTGACATCTCGGACTGTCAGTTGGCGTTAATATTTACTTGACACAAAAGCTCTATAGAGTATGTGCGTTTGCTCCACTAACGAAAATTTCAAAGAACATTTCTGTATCTCCACTGAACATAAAAAAGCTCAAAAATACACGAGAAGTTTGCAGAAAAGTTTCTATATATGCGTGGTT